CTTTCTAGGCAGTCCCCAATAAATGAATAAATAAAGTTAAGAAACCCTTGTCAGGTGGAAAATAATATGTTAAATAAATAAATAAAGTTAAGAAATCCTTGTCAGTTTGATAATAATAGGTGGCTGCCTTTCTAGGCAGTCCCCAATAAATAAATAGATAAATAAATAATGTTAAGAAAGTCAGGTGGATAATAATAGGTTAAATAAATAAGTAAAGTTAAGAAACCCTTGTAAGTTGGATAATAATAGGTTAAATAAATAAATAAAGTTAAGAAATCCTTGTCAGGTGGATAATAATAGGTGGCTGCCTTTCTATGCAGTCCCCAATAAATAAATAAATAAAGTTAAGAAACAAACAAAACATTTAGTAAGCCCAATCATCCAGGTAGATAACAGGAAAAATGGTTAAATCATGTCATCTGGACCTGTTTCTTTAAGTGAAAAAATGTTTCGTCCCCCATCCAGAGGACTTCATCAGTCTGCAGCTTGCCAACCAGATCTGCCACATAAGTAGCCTTCACTTCTGTGTTTTAAGCCAACCTCTTGTTGGAATCTCAGAAGGCGGCTTTTTTTAACACGTTGGCTAACAAGAGGTTGGCTTAAATCACAGCTACTTATGGAACAGACCTGGTTGGCAGGCCACAGACTGACGAAGTCCTCTGGATGGGGGACGAAACATTTCTTCACTTAAAGGAAAAGTTAAGAAACCCTTGTCAGGTGGATAATAATATATGGCTGCCTTTCAAGGCAAGAAAACAAACAAAAGACCAACGAAAATACCCCATATCTTCAGAATATTCCCCCTCAGGCGTGTTTAATTAGTTTATCAGTTGGCAGTTAGAACACCTCAGTTCAGTAGGAGGTCCAACTCTGAAGGAGGTTTGAGTGAAACGCTGATCTGTATTTTGGTTCCGTCTGATCCCAATCAGCTAAAGAGGAATTTAGCTACAGATCTGAAAAGGCTCAAATGGACATCATAAAAACAAACTGGTCTTTGCCAGTTTCTACAAACAGTGCGTCTACGAAAACACAACCATCCAGCAACATTTGCTGGGTTAGATCAAGTTACCATGACGACCGTGCCAAATGAAGTGTCTAAAAGCTGTCATGCCAGAACTGTTTACTCGTTACTTCAGCTGCTGGTTTTATGTTTCAAACGTGTAAAAGTCTTTGTCCGTGTCTGTGTGTTGTGCTGGCACGTGTGCGCAGGGCTGCAGCGCACGCTGTCCATCTTCCTGCAGTGCTGACGTTTCCCTCCTGGAGGGGACACGCCCGTCCCTCTGCGCTGCCCGTGTCCTCGTCTGTTAAACAGCTGCTCGCGCACATCAGCGCCGCTCTGATCCACCCAGTGGTATGTGTGTGTGCATGTGTGTGTGCACGGCATGTTTAGTTCAGTTTATTTGCTCATTCTTATCGAGTAATTAGCGCTAATGGCTTAAATGAGCTTCTTCACAATGTGTGTGCGATAACAGACACCATATGAAGTTTCACAGAGTGGGAAACTAATTTAACAATGTGCTGTTGATCACTTTTCTGTGGTAAGTTTGCTAAAACCAGTGGATAAACACAACAACAACGGGTACAATAAATTATCAGAGAAGATTCAGACATGAGGGCTCAGCAAAAGCAATTTTATTAAGACAAATATATCCCAAGAGGATTTAGTACATTTTTAAAGTCACCCAGCAGAATTTAAATTAGGTCGTATAAGACGAACATTAAGGACAATCGCTACATTCAGCTAGAGAAACTGCATTTCCTGCAAAATTGCAGTGTGACTGCTTTATGCAGAAGAACTTGCAATTCAAAAACAGATCCGAAGAAACTGTCCGCAGATGCCGTCCGATCCGTCCACCCAGACTCGGCTGGTCTCTTGGTTCCTCCAGGCTGCAGGACCGCCCGAATGCTGGGCAGAACTTGGCCCCGAGCGATGGCCACTCCTCCCAGCAGCCTGCCGAGCTCCTCGTCACTGCGGACAACCAGCTGCAGATGCTGGGGCACGATCCCCTCCTTCTGCTGTCACGAGCCATGTTTCCTGCTAGTCCCAGGATCTCCTCAAGCACAGCCGGCAAGGAGACGGGAATGCATCTATGGCACCTCCTTTTCAACTCGTTTGAAATTTGGTGCTGTAGCTGAGATATTATTTGAGCTTCTGAGATATTAATCAGCTGGCCCCGGTTTGTAAAAAAAAAAAAAAAAAAAAAACACCTTGTTGTTATGGTTACGCATCATAGCAAATGTCCAAAAGTAAAGTAAAAGTTTCTGTAAAAATCCTTCCAGCCGCACAGCAGCCGATACCAGAGGAAACAATCATCTGTAAAACTGATTTACATCCAGAAAAATAAGAATTAAAGTTTTTAAAAGCAAAATCTCAGAATGAACGTAACAGAGCTGCTCCAACGTGCAGCCATCTTGAGCGGCGCAATTCCAGAATAATAAGCAGAAATGAGCACAAAATGATCAATTAGCAAAAAATAGCTAAAAAGCAGCTGAAAAGGCAGAAAGAAACTAAAACTGCCAGACAGAAGTGGAAGGAGCTGACATCAGCTAAAAAATGTGAAATTTGCTGAAAAAGCTAAATTTAGTACAAAAAGCTAAAAAGTAGCTGAAATAGCTGAAAAAGCTGAAACTAGCAGAAAAAAGCTGAAAGGAGCATAACGAGCTGAAATTAGCATAAAGAAGTTAATTCGGCTGTAAGTTGCAGAAATTACCGTGAAAATCTTGAATTTATCTGAAAACAGCTGAAATTAGCTAAAAAAAAAAATTGAAATTTGCTGAAAAAGCTAAATTTACCGGTAGTAAAAAAAAAAAAAAAAAAAAAAGCTAAATAGTTGCTGAAATAGCAGAAAAAGCTGAAACTAGCAGAAAAAGCTGAAAGGAACATAACAAGCTGAAATTAGCATAAAGAAGTTAATTCGGCTGTAAGAAATTACCATGAAAATCTTGAATTTATCTGAAAACAGCTGAAATTAGCTAAAAATGCTAAAAATTTAGCTGAAAAGGTAGAAAAAACTTAAATTAGCAGAAGAAAACAAACATAACACGTTTGCCCAACTAGGCTGAAAGAAGCAGAAAAAAGTGGAAATTATCTGAAAAAAGCTAAAATTGGCAACAACAAAAAACCAGCTGAATGAATAGTAGCTAAAAAAAAAGCAGAAAGAAGATTAAATTAGCAGAAGGAAGTGGAGAGAGCACATTTTTGCTGAATTAAGCTGAATAAAGTTCAAATGAGTGCAAAACATATGGAAATTGCTGAAAAAGCTAAAAATTAGCATAAACAGCTAAATAGTAGCTGAAATAGCGGAAAAATATGAAATTTGCATAAACTGAAAGGAGGTGTCAAAATACAGCATGCAGGCCACCTTCTTGTGATGATTTTAGCAGTTTTGACATCTCTCGGTTGATATTTTAAGTCGTCCTTAATGTTTTTTTTATCTCCCCAGCCTGAGCTGACGGTAGAGAACCTGCCGGCCTTCCTCTCCCTGGGCAAAGCCCTCCTCCTCCTGTTCGTGGGAGAAGAGGAGGATGAGTTCGGGCGGAGGCAGAGCCAGGCTCTGGTGGAGGAGCTGGAAGGCGTGACGTCAGAGCGGTACCTGGCCTGCTGGCTCCACCTGTACGACCTCTGATTCTTCATTCACTTGTTTTTCCACTAAAACCATAAATGTTGAATAAATACGTATTTTTCCTGTCTCTGGTTTAGAGGCCGCACTCCAGCTGGTGTGTCCGTCCTGGGGTCCTACCTGGGCTCCATGCCGCCCCTCCCTGCTCTGGTTCTGACGCGTCTACCCACCGGAGACGAAGTCTATCAGTACCCACCCAACGCTCCTATAGAGGCCTCCTCCGTGCTGCGGTGGCTGCAGAAGGTCGAGGACGGGACCGAGTCTCCGGCAGGTACAGTACAGACGAGAAACAACCAGAGGAAATAAACTAATTTTATTTTTATTACCTTTGTCAGTTTCTTTTTATTATTTTATTTTATTACTTTTATAATGGAACTATTAACGGCTCAACTAAAATTTAAAACTCAGAGTTTTGAAAGACCGTGGGGACCAATTGTGGACTGTCTTAAATAAAGTTATTTTGTTGTTGTTGTTGTTTTTTAATTTAACTCTGTACAATAAATATATATTGTGTTCTTGTTGTTGAAGAGATGGCCCGGTCTCAAAACCAATAGTTTGTATGCAGCTTGCCTTGTTTTTGCGCGTCTTATTTTTGGAATCCACTGATCAATAGTTGGTGGGTTGGGTTTCGTTCTGTGGACCACGATCGTTTTTCTTTCCGTCATGAGGAGAATACCGTATTTTCCACCGTACACGTCGCACCGCCCTATAAGTCTCATCAGTCCAAACATGTCTTAAAAAAAATCCATAAATTCTTCGCCGTATAAGTCGTATTTGTTACGCGTCACCGCTGACAACCCGGAAATGTGGGCGGAACTTGGAAATGTGGGCCGGTGTTGTGCCAAAAATCGATTGGCTGCCAAATGGCGGCCGCGGGAGCGTACAGGGGAGGACTTTAACAAGAATTTAACAAGATAAACACTAAATAAGAATTATTTGTTTGCTCGAAATTACAGTAAATGTGTCTCTCAGTCTAACTTTTACCTAATAAATGCACTTTAATGGTCAAATTAGCTGCATTTGGAAAGTAAGCTGATTTGACGGTTGTTCCAGGCGAGATGGACGAAGGTGGCAGTCTATGGCAAGCCGATTGTGTCATTAATATCTGCTTTTACTTATTACATGACATTGGCATGCCGTAATACTCGAGTGCCATCTAGTGGCTGAAAATGGTAGTGCTCAATATTTTCAATCAGAATGAATGAAAACTGTCATATCTCAGCTAAAAATTGGTTTATAAATATGAGGAAAAAATCCATAAATACGTCGCTTCGGCGTATAAGTCACAAGGCGTGCAAATTATGCAAAAAATTGTGACTTATAGGCCGAAAAATATGGTATGTGTCAAAGAGCTTTCCTTCACTGACCCCTCCCTTTCTCTTTTTTCTTTAAAATCTGTTTTAACCGTCCGAAATTGCATTTTTGGATCTTTAAAATCAGCTAAGCTGAGGATCTAAGCTACGAGCTAAGCTAACAGGCCGACCTTGGGGAAGACCTCCGTCTTGTCGAAGCTCCAAAATTCATGGTTGAAACCCGTGCCTTCGTGTAAAAAGTTGTTTTTCCTCCGCAAAAATAAGCCGAGAACTTGTTTACTGATTTTTTTTTATTTAAATTAAAAGCTTTGTGTGAAAAATGCTATGCTAAAGAGCTCAAACCACACCGAGCGTCCGCCATTTTGAGAACTGAAGAGAGACAGCCCATGTCACGTCAAGCGACCTCCCTTCCATTTTTCTTAAAGCGACACGCTGCTCGCTCCCTCACCATCCATCCTTCGGTTCAAACAGTCTTATACTGCCATCCAGTGGTCAAAAAAGGTACTACACACAAAAATTAACCAGCATTTATTTTTAGATTTGACAATAATTACTAATTATTGTCAAATTTCAAACAACATTATTGTTTATCGCAATAATTTCTGAGACGATTAATCGCCCAGCAAAATTTGTTATCGTGACAGGCCTACACATCCCTGACACCTTTCCAGTCCTGCACCCGAGGGCAGTCCCAAAATATGTGGGTGTGGTCACCCACAATACCACATTTTCTCCAACAGTCACCATTATTGTCACTCCTAGAAAGAAAAAAGACTTAAGTGGAGTTTGAAAAAAAACTAATTTTGCATTTCCAATCAAACTCTTTCCAGAGTTGGCTCCCGACTCCTCTGTGGCAACCAAAACAAATATTCTCCCAAGAGTCATCATCCAAAATTCCATTTAGCTTCATTTCCCATTCTTGTTTAATGCGTTGAGTATTGTCTGATATATCCAATACTATTTTTATACATCAAAGATACTTGTTTTTTCAGTGTTCCAGAGTTTTTGATTAAAGGAAGTGTTTTTCTATGTTTGTGGGTTCCCTTATAATATTTTTCCAATCTGTATGTTGTGATCTATACATATCACTTGTAGGGAGAGTAAACGTTTTCGTTTGGGAAAAGTCTTAAATATAATGCCTTCAAATAACTGATTAATGTAGTCAGCCCACATTCTATCTATTTTAAAAGCTCCATCAGATAAAATGGAAAAAATCTGGGTTCTTGTTAATGGGAACGACCCTTGATAAAGCAATAGTTCCCTTCAAGTTTCAAGTTATTTCAATAACCATCGTGGGTTTTCCTTCCTTTAACCAAAAGATACAAATAACTTTACCCGAAACAGACCTGTCAAAACTCGGCATTTTACAAATGTGTTCATTTGCTACGAAAGCAGAGCAGACCAAGTCAAGATGGCAGCACGACGGCTGTGGGGCTAGCGCTGTTGTTTCACAGCAAGAAAATCCTGGGTTAAACCTCTGATCTGGACTTGAGATCTTTCTGTGTTTGCATGTTCTCCTCGTGTCCGCGTGGGTTTTCTCCTGGTACTCTTGTTTCCTCTCACAGTCCAAAACGTGCATGTTAGGCAGCCTTCAGACCCAGGCTTCCCTTGCTAAAGAGATCTGTGATCTCAGTGGGCTTTTCCTGGTTAAATAAAAGTGCAGGTCCTGCATCTTACTTTACCGTTATTCAAAGTGCATAAGAAATTAAAGATTGTACACGACACGATTGGCTTACTGATGGAAGGCGACCAGTCAGAGCATTGTGTTGAGCAGCAGACTGGCCATGTGGAGCACCGGGACATTTCCTGGTGGCCTGGCCCGCTCAGTGATCACTGAGGGGCCCACTCCTTTCTCTTTCTGAGGCTGTCTGTCACAGCAGAGCAGAGACACACAACAGACGGGAGCGCAACCTGCATGCAAAACAAGTAAGATATGTAATATAAGATGGAGCTAGGTTGTTGAGGGCTTTGTAGGTTAGAAGTAAGATTTTGATTTATACTTTGAATTTGACAGGAAGCCAATGGAGAGAAGCTAAAACTGGAGAGTTATGATCTCTCCTATCAACTCATTAAAACTCTGGCATCTCCCACCACCATCTCCTGCACCATCCTACCCTCACTTATACTTTAACTCCTCCACCTAAGTCACAGACTCCCCCTCATGACCCAATAGGAACATTCCACTTGTTTCCAGTTAAAAGCCGTGGCCTCGAACTCAAAGGAGCAGAGAGGAGGAGCTTTAGAGACGTCTTGAATATTAAATATTTCTGTGTAAGTGGTGCAATACTTTCTAAACTAGAAAATATTCAACTGTAAACAATACATCCCTTGGGGGGGTTCTGTACGCCTTGCAATTTGTTAAACATCCAAACGTTTGAAAAATGGAGAACCCAGGCTCGGCTTTCATTTGATTATCTGCACAGCTCTTAAATTATTCATTTACTTCTTATCTTTTGCTGCCGTTAATGTGTTTCTCAGCTAATGGCACATTATTCATAAATAAGAAATGATTTAGGTATCCCTCGCAAGTAAACTGCGTGTGGCGTTTTGTGTATTGTCTGCAGCATGAGCATGTTTCTAGTGGTCAGTGCAGCTTTGGCTCGCTCTGTCGTTACAGTTAGGCTTTCTTCATCTTCTTAGTCGCTCCCAGGTGACGTCAGTGATTTTCCATCTCCAGTGATCGTCTTCTTTCTTGCATTCCTCAGGTGATGACTTTTCAACATGCTGGACTGGTTGCGTTTCTTGGACAACTACAGTTGACCGGGTCCCAACACAAGCCTGTAAAGTTGTATAATCTGCCACATAAGTTATTGGAATATTAGATGAAACAGGTTGATGCTTGTTAGCAGCATCTCCATCCTCATTCTCCTTGATCTGAGTGCGGCCATCTCTCACTCCATCTTTCTCCAAAGACTTATCTTCGTTGGCATCTTTTGCACCCACCTTCACGGGTTTCAATCATATCTTTCTGGCCACACTTAGTTTATTAAGCTTTAATCTTTTGCTTTCAGGCCATCCCTTGTAACCGTAGGTGTGCCCCAGGGCTCTGTCCTGGGGCCCCTCTTCATCACTTGCCTCATTTCCTTTGGTAATATTTTCTACTTATGACATCCATTTCCATTTTAGGTGGATGACACCCAGCTCTACCTTTCCAGTAAACCCAATGCCACCCACCCACCCTCCTCCTATATCTATTTCCTTAATGAACTCTTTTTTTTTTTTCAAACTGTCTTAAACGGTGGCAAAACTGAATTCCCCCTTGTATTATCCAAAGCTGACAGTTCTTCCATTTTAGTTGACAATACTTTTGTTTCCCCCTCAACTAAGGTTGAGTCTGGGTGTCATCCTCGACAGGACACTATCATTTCATTCTCACATAAATAACATCACCCGGTCTGCATATTTCCACCATTGCAACATTAATCGTCTCCGTCCCTCTCTTACCCCTCACACTCCTGCTATCCTTGCCCACGGTCTTGTTACCTCCCGTATTGACTACTGTAATCCTCTTCTTTTTGGTTTTCCTCACAAATCCCTTCATAAATTTTAACTGCTTCAGAATTCATCAGCTTAACATCACCAGAAGCCCCTCCTCTAGCTACCTCACACTTATTCTGTACAAGCTTCACTGGTTACCCGTCAAACTTGGCATTGATTTCAAAATTCTTCTGTATGCATTTAAAGCCATCTGCAATCTCGCCCTTCCATATTTATCTGACCTCCTTTACATTGCCACTCTGTCCCGTTCCCTCAGATCTGCCTCATCTATCCACCTCACTGTTCCTTTCACCCGCCTCGCCATCATTCAGCTGCACTGACTCACTGCCCCAAGAAATCAGAAACTCGGACTCTCCCTGTCTTTAAGGTTAGAGAAGGTGGGCCTGTGATTGGAAAATCGCCGGTTCAACTCCCGGTACCGACGACATCAAAATGTGGGTGGGATAGGTGAAGCACCCATACCTGTCTCCACCCTCATTTGCCCCACTCTGGACCCTTGAGCAAGGCCCTTAACCCCCACCATCTGCTCCCCCGGACACCCTAGATAGCAGCTGTCTGCTCCACACAGAGGCTGTGGTAGCTCAGTGGTCTGTGGTTGCGACAGGAAGGGCATCCGGCGTGAAAAATATTTGCCAAGTCTTCGTGCGACTTAGTTCGCTGTGGCGACCCCTGAAGAAGGGAGCAGCCAAAAGGAAAAAAAGTTTTATTTTGAAAGGATAACAAAGTAGAAACTACAGTCATGGGTGAGCTCCAGCTTTACTGCAAGAATGCATGGAAACGCCTCCATTATGATCTGTTGGATTGATGGAGGACAAAGATCTCCGACTACAGAATTAGTGAAACCAAACGTGACAAAGAGGGTGTTCCAGCAGTGGAACTTGTTGCTACGAGTCTTCACGGACTTGCAAACGTCAAAGCAAACTCAAGACGTGAACCAAATTACAACCTAAAAGAAAGAAGTCTGCACCTCATTACGTCATCTTATTTAATCTGGTACACGCTGTGATTCCACATATTCGTCTTGGTGTTTGTCTGTAGGAAAGCTGGGTGAGGGCAACTGGCCTCCTGCGTTCGAGTTTTACGACTTCCTGAAAGTCATGGACGTGCAGGAACCCGACTCCACCGAGCAAAAAACTCCTGCCGATGGGGAAGAAGTGGAGGAAGAAGAAGTTAATGTTGAAGAACATTTGGTGGAAGAACAGCTGGCTGATGACCGTCCAGATGTTGATCCTGAATTTCACTCTGAATTGTAACACATCAAGATTTTATTTTTATTTTTTTAATATTTACCAAAACAGACATTGGATACATGACCAAAGGGACTGTGAGTATTTACACTAATGTACTGTACTTTGTCCTCTAACACTAGTTTTTGTCTTAATGTGTATTATGTTGGTGTTCTCTGAGGAAAAAAAATATTTCTTGGTTTGTTGCTTTTGTAGTTTAACTGATAAAATAAAGATTTTATTAGTAAAGTTTAATATTTCTTCATTTTCTGCATCATCAAAGTAATTTTGTTTTGAGCAGTTGTTTGGTGTAAAAATAGTCTTCTAAATCTTTCTCACCTTTCTCATACCCCCGTCTTAAGATGGGTTGTATTGCAGTGATTCCCCTACCGTTATACAAGCCACCCCCCCCCCCCCCCACCCCCCCCCCCCCCTCGCCCCTCCCGCGTCCCCATCCGTCCCCCCCCCCCCCCCTTTGACAAAAATCATGGATGAGATGAACGCCCTGCCATTGGCAAGTTATCTAGAGGCAACACTGTATTGTGCGGCACCATCCGTCCGTCCAACTGTTTGTCGGTGGACATTTTATGTCCGAGCTCTAAATTGATAACTTTTAAACACTGAAGTATCAAACTGTACAGCTGGACACCTCCAGGTCAAGGATGATTTCAGCTTTGGAGGGTCAAAGGTCAAGGTCACAGGCGACTCCTTAATTAAACCTTGTCTGTGCTTCAGCTTGACATCAGAGGAGCATAGCCGTCTTGCATCGTAAGACCCAGACTGGCCAGGGTTGGCCCAGCCTGGGTTCCAGCCCAGGTTCTGGGTCTTTGTATTGGGTGGTCTGGCCAACTTTTTGGATAATTCTTGGAACACAAAGACCAAGGGCGCCAACTGGTGCCGAAGATTTGACATCAGCGGACTGCAGGCCATTGTTTGATTGGTTCACTGCTCTGATTGTACGCGCACCTTCCAACGATTGTAAACAAGCTAGCTTTAGCTTGCCTTCTTACGTCATCTTGCACTCTTGCATCAGCATGGTACTGCTGTATGGCCTCATGTACTGTCATGCGTCTTTCTGCTGTGTTTCTTCTAGCAGCACACGGCCTTCTCTGGCTCTGTTTTAACTGGTTTTTGATGAACAGTAGCGTGATTTTCGTGTTTCTATTGAGTGTTGTGGAAATTGACGACCCGTGAGCCTTGAGGGTTCTTGCCGTGACGATCCTGCCCACATACAAAAACAACCAAGGCTGTGCAGAGCCAGGGAATACCTGGGTCGGTCCAACCAGAGTCAGGACGGATCTTACAATGCAAGAATGCCAATAGAAATGTCAAACCATCTGTCCATCCATAAGACAGTCTACAGTAAGTTGTCCACTGTGTGACTCCACAAAGGTTTAGGATAGAAAATGTCTTCAGACTATGGCTCCACATTGGATCTTGTTCTATTAACAAGATCTATGACTTTGGTGACTATGACTATGGGGCAGTTGTGGCTCAGTGGTTAGATCAGTCATCCTCCAATGCAAGAGTTGGGGGGTTCGATTCAACTAGCAGCCACAAGCCAAAGTGCCCCTGGGCAAGACACTGAACCCCTAATTGCCTTCTATGTGTGTCCCATCAGTGTATGAATGTGATAAAGCACTGATTAGTCTTTGAATAGAAATAATAGTGCTGTGTTCGGTGGCACAGTTGGTAGAGCTGTTGCCTCTCAGTGAGCAGGTTGCCCCGGTTCAAATCCCGGTCCGGGGGCCTTTCTTGGTGGAGTTTGTATGTTCTCTCAGTGCATGCGTGGGTTTTCTCTGGGTACTCCAGTTTCCTCCCATAGACCAAAAACATGCATGTTAGGCTAATTGGTAACTCTAAATTGTCCCTAGGTGAGAGTGAGAGAGTGAATGTTTGTTTGTCTCGTTTGTCTCTATGTGGCTCTGTGATGGACTTGCGACCCATCCAGGGTGTACCCTGCCTCTTGCACAGTGATAGCTGGACATGGGCACCAGTGACCCCCGCGTAAAAGTAAGAAGCAAGTAAAGATAATGGATGGATGGAGTGCTGTATGAATGGGTAAATGAGGGCACAGATTGTGTTATACAGCGCTTTGAGTATCTTGATAAGACAGAAAGGCACTATACAAGTACAGTCCATTTACCATTGACCATTTATTAAGACCACTTCCACCAACAAAATCTTGAGTGATTCTGGCGAAGTCAATGACTCTCATCTTAAAATGGTTTGGATCGGCTGGTAGTCACCAACAGGTAAGTTCTTCACATTGATTGCTGTAAATTAATGTTCTTACATGTTCTTTAATTGATCTGTTTGCTGGTTTACACCATGAACAATGTCATTATCAGTGAAAGTGACCTTTCACCCCACCACAATTATGTACATACTTACACATATATTCAGGGAATTCATGCTTTGTATTTTGACTGCTCTGACTGTTTACCAATGGGAGTATTTTGTATCGTTGGCGGTGCTCCTGTCATTACTCCAACTACTTTTTGAAAATACTCACATTATGAAACGGAGGCTGAATTAAGTTGATGGAGGTGGTGAAAAATGTGGTTTTAGATGTTTCTGCTACTCCAAGTTTGAGTGAGTCTTAAACCATATTTTGGATGGTCTGAAGAGTTCTTGGTGGATGAGATTTTCTTTCGACAATTATCCTATTAGTGGTTTTGACCTTCTTTCAACAGAGTTTATTGAATTAGGCCTTTCAAACCTTGAATGTTTTATGTCTGGAGGGTTATGTGGTGTAAGAATGAAATATTGATGATTCAACCATTGAACCCACCTGCTGTCCTTGGGTCAAAAAGACCCCTGAGGCCTCAGGGGTCATTTGAAAGTAAAAACTTTCTTTAGATAGGTAGAAACCTTGATCAGAACCAGCTCAGGATGAGCAGCCATCTTCCTTGAATGGGGTTAGAGAGGACAGGAAAGAGACACAGATTGACTGGTCCGGGTGTAGTTTCTATGGTCCAGGTGTAGTTTCTATGATCTGAGTCTAGTTTCTATGGTTTGAGTGTAGTTTATATGGTCTGAGTGTAGTTTCTATGGTTTGAGTGTAGTTTCTATGGTCTGAGTATAGTTTATATGGTTTGAGTGTAGTTTCTATGGTCTGAGTGTAGTTTCTGTGGTCCAGGTGTAGTTTCTATGATCTGAGTCTAGTTTCTATGGTTTGAGTGTAGTTTATATGGTCTGAGTGTAGTTTCTATGGTCCAGGTGTAGTTTTTATGGTCTGAGTGCAGTTTCTATGGTCTGAGTGTAGTTTCTTTGGTCTGAGTGTGTTTTCTATGGTCCAGGTGTAGTTTCTATGGTC